AACATTTATTTTATTTTTTTTTTCATGTTAAACTTTTTTTTTGTGCTTCTAAATTTCGTGCAGTTGGCTTTATGCATTTGTCTTATGGATTTGTGTGGGAACACATGCAATATATGTAGAAATTTAGACATTTTGGACGACTGCGGATGAGGTAATTTGACTCTAATTTATGCAAAGTAGTGATAGTGGCCTGTTTTTATATTTTGATGATTTAATGGTTTGAAGGGCCATTTCTTGGTTTTTAGAGCATCTAACACTGTTTTGTGACCATAAAACGGAGTGGTTTTGAAGGTGCTTGAAGCCTTTTAGCACCATTTCATGTGATGCCATTTGTTGTCCTTAACACGATATGTTGAATTAATTGTGGGAATCTTTTGATAAATTTTATGTTTTGGATGCGTACGAGAAGTCCCTTTGGTAAGATTTGTGAGGTTTTTTTTTTTGTGATAAATTTTATGCTTTGGATGACGTTATTTTGATTTATTTTGGGTAGGATTTTTTACCTTTCCCATCATGTGACACAATAGATGATGTGGACTTCCTTTTAGGTTATTTGGATTTGTTGTCGAAGTCTCTTTGGAAAGATTTGTGAGCTTTTCTCTCTCTCTCTTATTTATTTATTTATTTATTTATTTTTTTGGAGGTTGTTTGAACTTGCTATTCGTGACGTTGAGTTTGTTCGCTGATGTTTTGATTGTGTTTGGTTGCAATTGAGTGAAGTTAGTTATGACAAGTGGTTGTTGACCAATCTGGAAAGCTTGGGGATTAAATTTGACGGTGTTTAGTTTTGTTGTTGATTTAGAATACTGCTAGACGCATAGCTGTTTTGCTGTTTAATTATAAGGTTGCTAACAAGTTATTACAACATTCCTCTTCTCTCGAATAAATTCAATATTGTTTGGTTTTGTTGATTTTACTCGGGGGATTTTAGTTATTACTCGAGTTCTCAAAAACTTTTTTGTCCTATAATACGTCATGTTATCTCAATCATGATGAATTTACTCTTACCTCTTGGTTTTGGATAGATCTCTTAAACTTTTAGTTGCTGATCTATCAACTAAAATTAATTAAACATAAGAATGAAAATACATAGCAATATTAGAATACAAATATTTTAAAAAAAATGTGTTAAAAGTAATCAACAAGTAGTGCGTTTGTATTTAATTCTTATAGTTGGGAAACAACTACATAAGGTATATGATTTCAAGCAGAAGTGTAAATGAGGTACGATAATATGTTGCTGCTGCTCCTAGTTAATTCCAACTATTGTAGCCCATACTCTCTACCCCGTCAAATTTGAATCTTCTAGAAAATGCCAATTGTCTTCTCGACAACCCTAATTTCGCTCTTTTCTTTGCTCAATAAGATTTTTGCTCAAAATTGAAAAAATTTCAACTTTTGTATGCTGGTGCACAACCAGACTCCTAGACACCAGCTTGGCCGCTTAAGCATTGAGTTAGTTTTTTATTAACTATAGTTCATAAATAAATAAAGCGATTTTAAAAATGTTGATTCTATAATCATTTAGATGTTTTTTAATAAAGTGTCAAAGAGGAACAAATAGGATTCAATTATCTATTTAGAAATTGAGAGAGTGAGAAAGGAAAGCAAAAAAGGAAGAAATCGGAGGAACTTACAAATGGATACGGTGCGAGAAGGGGAAGCATCGTGCCTTAGCCGATTGAAGAAGACAACACCTCAAGTGGGCCAACAAGGCCTCTTGCATTGAAACCAAGGAGAAAAACTCTCTATGGAACCCCCATGCGAAGGAGAAGGAAGTAGGGGGCCTCAATTTCTCGAGTGTGGGAGTTTACCGAACCGTAGTCGTATGACACATATAAAGGAAAAGAAGTAGCGTACGGTGTGGAAGAAGACTTTGAATGGAAGGCGGAAAGCTTTTAACAACTTCCACGCATGCAAGGCAACATTTTTGTCATGCGTGTTTTTTTTTTGTGTGCAAAGGAAAAAGAAGAGGAAGTTCTAAAGGCGTCCTATACAAGGAAGTGATGAGAAGCTCATGCCCTAACAGTTTGGTGTGGGTGAATCTTTGCACACGAAGGAAGAGAGGAAGTGGTGTTGAGCGGCATTGTAAGTGTCTCGCGTGCGAAGTAGAGGTGAGGTGTGCAGCTTTGTCCCGCACGAAGAAGAGGAGGCGAAGGCTTGTTGGAGATTAAGTTTAACCGGGCATCTATAAAAAGGATTGAAGCTATAGAAATCGTGGATTGGATGAAGACTGAATCAATATTTGTGCAAAAGAAAAAGAGATAAACAAGATTTAAAGTAAAAGAGGAGGGATCTTGGATTGAGAGTTTAGAAGAAGTGACTGCAATAATGTAAGATGTAAGGATCTATGTATTATTTATCTGTTTGATCCGTTTATCCATTTGATCATCATGTTCATTTGACAAATCATGTTAATTATTTGCATAATATTTATTCCATAATAATTAATAATTATCCACTAGGTTGTTTAAACTTAGTTTACTGTCTAACTGTTCTTTATGGAAATATTCTCTAGACAGAGATGTCTGATAGGAGTTTGTTTTATTGTAGGAGGATAGGATCTGTTGATGATAGGTGGTGGTCTGTTTTTTTTTTTAATTATGTCATTTTTTTATTGTTGGTGTTATTGTAGTACACTAATATGATATTACGTGTTTGTGAGAAGATTGTTTATTGATGTATTGTGTATTAGTGATTCTTTTCTATATAAATGTTTTTATAACTTAATATTAATGTTCAGAAATATTTTTCATCGTCAATCGTCCGCAAGTGTATTAGTTAAATCTTTGCTCTTTGGTCAGTTCATGACAGAGTTAGTCTTGCCCAAGTGTTTAAATAGCTTTTCAAAATCATGATAACTTTTGCAGACAATGTGATTAGCACATTGGCATTGTGGTTTGGTGCTTAAGTGTCAGATCAGACATCTTGCTGCTAAGCTATTATTTTCAAAAAATCTTTGTTCCCTAGTTTGTGGGCTTGGAATTTCAAGCTGGGTACAGACGATTAGACAATTTAAATTCTTGATTTCTAGTACTATCATTAACTGATGAATGCAATAATCCGAACCATTGAAAGTGCTATTATTTAATAAAAATTTAATCTACTTTAATGTAAAGAAGTTAGTAGTTGCCTAGCACTATTATCACCACAACTTATTTAAATATTATCTCATCATTCACTCATTCTCTTAAACTAAAACATATTTGTTCAAAATATTGTCAGCTAGCAAGCACTTGGTGAAAATCATCTTTCTTAATTTGGTGTAATATAGAGGAAATGAAAATCTATATGTTTGCTTGTCATTTATAATACAACAACAGCAACGAGCCTTTATCCCAATAAGTGGGGCTACATGAATCTTTTTTCTCCATTGTCAACAACTCAACTTATTCAAATTTTAATTATATATAAAGTATTAAATTTCTTAACAACTTACAATCAAAATTTACCTTTCAGCTGGAAAGGAGAGCAAGCTCGAGGCTTAACACAAATCAAAACCCACCTCCAAACCTTGCACACCATTGGCAACTTGATGAGCTTACTTGAACTGCTTGAAAAATCAGTCAAGATTAGTTGAGTTTATGTGTTCGATTGAGTATTGTTCGCTTCCCTTACCATTCTGTATCTCGACTTGTGTATTGATATGCTTGAGCTGCAAAAAACATTTGCAAAGAAGGTTTTGACTCCTTGACTTTGACATCTTGCTCGCACCTCTTGATGTTGTTGCCTTCTATTTCGCTCAAGCACGCACAACTTTGTCGTCCCTACACACTTCTGTTCAAGCCTGTCTGCTCGTTGGTCGACCTTTCTTTAATCGATTCTCCTCATCCGTTCTCGTTTCGCTGACTTAACCGTCTCTTTGTTCGCTTCCTCCTTCACACTTGGTTCGAGTTTCTTGCTCAATCTCCATTTATCATCTTTTGGTTCGCACTCTCGTTCGCTTCTCCCATTCTGATTGCTTTGTGCCTCTTTGCTTGCAAGCTTTGTTTCCTTTTTCGCCTATCTCACTCTCTACATGTTTTGTCCCTGCCTCTATCCACTTTGTCTCCCTGAATAACTGTGAAGTTACTATTGTCAGTTGAACTGAACCGATGTTAGCCGACCCAATGCCCCCATTTGTTATTATTTTTCCTGGAGTTACAACTTGTACGTGAGCGCTTGGGCTTATAATTGCGCCCTTTGAGTTTGACAATGTTTCGACTGCTCCAATTGCTTGGTTTTTGTTTTTTGCCCTTGAAATCCTTTGAAATCTTGCACTTTCTTATATGAAACTAGTTAAATTTGTGCTGTAGTTTTCCAAAAAAATCAGTGAAAATTAATGTAAAACCAATGTCTTAACCGGGAAAGGTCACACCGAAATACTGCTTATAGGATATTCTTGCACTTAGATTATTACTGGTTTTCAAGCAAAGCAAAAAATAACGAGACTGATAGTCAAGATTTATTAATTTTTTCAAACTAAACTTGTTTGTGATGCTCCGTGCAATGCTGGATAAAACTGTTTTAAATATTAATGTTAGCGAACTTATAAATTAGTTGTAGTTATGAGGTGTTGTAAAAAAAATTTTAATCTGGCCGACTTTAATTTTTTAAACCTCTTCTACTTTCTATCTGGCTCACTCTTGTCATTCAGTCTCCCCTTCTCCCACTCACCCTTCCCTTGAGAAGGGCTTCCTGACTCTCTTTCTTTGGCTTACTATTCTCAGTCAGTCTTCCCCTCTCCCGCTTAGACTTTCCTTAAAATAACTTATAATTTTATGAAATTATTCTTCTTTAACCAAGTTTGTTTTGATTACTCGATAAAGTATTAGAATTAACTATAATAATTTAATTTATGATAATTAAAAAAAACATGTCGGATATTTACTGTTTTCCTAGTAGTTGTTTTATTTCTGCATCATCAATATTTTCAGAAACCAGTTTTTATCTCTTGCTATGCGCATTTAGCCCAAATAATTCCAGTAATTCATTAACATTTATTGCATATGCTCTTTCAGAATGACTATGAGAAATTTGAATTCATTGCTTTTGAGATGGAGGCTGAGATTTCTTCTTTGAAGGAGGCTCTAGAAATCATAACTGGTGAAAAAGAAGAAGCATATGCTAAAAATGAAATTCTGAACTCTGAGTTAGAAGCTATGGCTAACAAATTGTGCACTGCTGATTTTGAATTGGAATTGCTAAAGGAAGAGCTTAAAACAATGGTATGCCTCTCTAGCTGTCTATGACTGATTATTCGAGCTTAATTGTTACTTGTATATCAGTTTTTTTTTTTTTTTTCTGTCAAATGCTTCTGCTTGCTTTGTTACTAGAGCTCTCCACTGTGGTGTTTTCTGTTCGAGTAATTTGGAGCAGTTTTATCTTGCAGGAAGAAAGGCTTTGTTACTAGAGCTCTCCAATGTGGTGTTTTCTGTTTAAGTAATTTGGAGCAGTTTTATCTTGCAGGAAGAAAGGTTGGCTGATTCTGAATGTTCTTGTAGGGGGTTTCAAGATTCTCTAAATTTGGTCTCAAGGGAGAAAGAGGAGATGATCTTGGTACTAAAGATAATTATGCAAAGAAACTAGATGCCACCTTAACTGCCCTTTGTTTTACTATTTTTTTTTTCTTAGTAATCATTCATTTATTTTGTAGCAACTTACTGAAGCCCTTCTAGAGGTGGAGTTAGAAAAATCAGCTTGGGTCTTCAAAGAGAGACGTCTCAGCGAGAAACTCAATATATCAAATAATGAAATTGTCAAACTACTAGATAGTCTATCAGAGGTATCTTCATACATTATCTCAAATTCTTAAATTTTTTTTTTTTCAAGTATTTCCCATTGGACCTAAAATTTATTCAAACATTGTGTAGTTAGCTGTTTTGCATAGAAGGTGAGAAGTCCAGGAGAATGGGCAGGCTGCCTCAACTGATATTTGAGTCATAGAATTAGATTTTTTGTAGCGAGGGGATGAGACTGGATATTTCAGCCCCCTTCTTGAGAAGTCTTGCATTGGATCCCTTCTGCGTTGCTGGTGTTCGTAACTACAGTAGAATTAGATTCTTTGTAGTGCGGGGATGAGACTGGATATTTCAGCCCCTTTCTTGAGAAATCTTGCTTTAAACGGGATTGCTTCTGAATTGCTGGTGTTCGTAGCTACAGTATTACTTTTTCCCTGAGATTTAATAATGATTACAATTAATTTTAAGCATATTTTTGAAAAAACTCAGACGGTTAAGGTTCCAGTCATTGCGAATGATTTGTGTGATCATCCATTTAGTCCTGCAGTTTGGGAAATTTTTTTCTAATTAATTGGAAGTAAATATCCAAAATAATCTCTGTTTTTCCAAAGTGATCATGGGGTTTTACCTGGTCACTCTCATTTTATAGAAAGCTTGATGCCGGCGTTAACCCAAACGATAATGTAAATACAAATATTAGTGCTGAAATTTAATAGTGCAAACAAAGACTCTTAACAATAGTTAAATAACAACACAAACATAAAAGACACCTTAGGGTGAGGACAAAATCGGTGGGCTGCGGCAGGACACAGGTGGGAGGGGGCTGATTGGAAGGTGGCGGTAGCAGGGAGAGAGAGTGGAAGGCTGTGGGGCAGCGAGCAGGGTGACTGGGAGTCACGGTAGCAAGCAGCCAAGTGGCCGGGAAGAGGGGTTGCGGCAACAGGTAGAAGGTCTGGAGGGAGCTGCCGCAGTAGGCAGCGGGTCTGCAAGGAGCTGCAGCAGCAGCTAGGATGATTGGGGTCATGGCAGTAAGCAGGGAGGTAGGGTAGAGGGTGCAATAACAGGAACTGGGTGGTTGCTGGTAGAAAGGATGCTGGAAAAGCACTTGGGGGACTGATGGCGGGAAGTGGGGTGCATTAGCAGGAGCTGGGTGGCTGCGGGTAGAAAAGCTCTAGGAAAACCAACTGGTGGATGGCAGTTGGAAATGAGACTGCAGGAAACAGTCCAGGTGGGCTGTCTGGCAGCTGCAACGAGAGGAAGGATGGTGGCAGCAGAGGAAGGGTTGCTGCGGATGGTGGAGTTGGGGTTAACCACCACCTTAGGGTGAGATACAGCTAGAGCATCACTCGTCCTTGGATATAGCCGTAAAAGAGAAAGGTGTTGTTATGAATTATATTCAAGTCACTAATGACATGCATACTAGAGTTGTTACTTGTTTTCGAACAGAAAGAGGATTGAGCAAATATTTTCCTATTTCAGTTGGATTACATCAGGGATCGGCTTTAAACCTATATCTTTTTGCTTCAGTTATGGATGCTCTTATTGGGCATTTACAGGAGGTTGTGCCTTGGTGTATGATTTTCGCTAATGTTATCCTTGTGGATAAGACTAGAGAAAATTGATAAGACTAGAGAGAATGCTCAGGAAAAACTTGAATTATGGAGGTCTACATTGGAGTCTAAAGGTCTTCGTTTGAGTAGAACTAATGCTGATTACATGGAATGTAATTTCAGTGGTAGTAGTTGTAGTGATAGCTGTAATTATGGGTGATCAAATTATTAAAAAAAGTTTGAACGCTTTAGATATCTCGGGTCTATTGTTCAAATTGATGGTGATATAGATGGGATAGAATTCAAGGTCGAGTCTATTGTGTGATAGAAAAGTACCGCTTAGATTGAAAGGAAAATTTTATAAGATGGTGGTGAGACCTGCAATGCTCTATGGTGCTGAATGTTAGCCTTTAAAAGAGAAGCATAAAACTAAGTGTTGTCGAGATGAGAATGTTTAGGTGGATGAGTAGTTTTACACTTAGAGACAAAATGCGAAATGAATCTTTCCTTGATAGGGTTGGTGTAGCTCTAGTGGCAGACAAATTTAGAAAGAGTCGTCTTAGATGGTTTGATCACATTAACCGTCGACCCCACCTAGTGAGATAAAGGCAGAGGTTAACCTTAGACTACTTCGTTAGACTTGGACATATTGTATAAAAAATGATCTTATTTTATTAGAATTAAATGAAAATATGACACCCAATAGGACGCAATGGAGAAAAAGGATTCACGTAGCCTACCCCACTTAGTGTGATAAAGGTTTGTTGTTGTTGTTGTTGTGTTTGAAACAATAACTAATTTATTTTAATTTAATATAATATCCCAAAATAAATAAGTCAACTTTAATCATCGACAAGATCACCTTCAAATACAAGTTCCCCATACCTCACTTGGATGATCTCTTGAATCAGTTGCATGGAGATATTAATTTTTCCAAGATCGACTTACGCAGTGAATATCTCTAGATTACGATGAGACCAGGGGATGAGTGGAAGAATACTTTCAAGACAAGGGATGAATATTATGTGTGAACGATCATGTCGTTCGGGTTGTTTAATGCACCCTGTACTTTTTGGGGTTGATGAATCAAATGTTTCGTGCTCACATCAGTAAGTTCGTAGTGGTGTACTACGATAATATTCTTATGTGCAGCAAATCTGAAGAGGAGCAATTTCAACACCCGATGATGTTTTTGAGGTTGTGGTCAGAAAAGTTATATATTGTTACGATCCGGAGCAGAAGTCGTCATGATTTTCCACCTCCATCGAATTTAGAACAAACAGATTTCTTATTTTAATAATTCAAACAACTCAATGAAAATACAAAGATAAGAACCTACGATTTGAGAGGTAGGCGATCTCTCGGACTTTTTACAATTCGAGAGATAGAAAATTTGTCCCAATCCCAAGACCTAAGATTCATGATCCAATCTCATGGATAGCCTAACCTTAGACATAACAACATATTTACTACCAACAACAATAATATTAAAAGAAAAAATTGCCCTTATGCGTACAAAAGTCAAATTTGCCTTAAGCTAGACGCCCCCGTAACAATACTCCCCCCTAAAAGACACCTTTTACTCAAGGTGGGAAAAAATATGAGTGTTCATCCTCCCCCACAGTTCTCTCTATTTCTTCTTTCTCTGCTTTTTAGTCCTACACTGTGAGAATTTGTAATCTTCGATCCTTGCGACGGTGTTCTGGAGTAAACTTCTCTTCACACCAAAAATATAACCCCTGGCTTGCTTCTCTCGGATCTCTGTTTTTGTGAGGCGCTTGAGTGTTGCTCTCGATTGTGGTCCATTATTCCTGTCCGGTGCAGCCTCCCTCTAGACTTCCACTGTTTGCACTTTTGACATTGACATGGTTACAATCATTTTGTACGACACTCTACCTGCGTTACTCCTGTCGGCTTTCTTCATCTGGTTCTTGTCTTCCACTACCTGGGCTAGCTTTATCATCTACTCAATTCCCCTCCAATCTTGCTTCAAAAATTTGTCGCAGTCATCGCGACAATAGTTCAAATTTTCCTCTATATTCCATGATCATCCCCTTCTCAGTCAAGGCAAAGAATTGCTCATGGTAGGTCTTCTTCCCAAATGGCTCGAAAACATTCCAATGAACAATCTTTAAATTCATCTCACGAACCAATCGGGTATCTAGCCTCTCTCCACTGAAACCAGGCTAAAGCTTTCCCCTCCCAAAACATTCATGTTGTCATGAGTTTCTCCTCTCAATCAAACCCAATCAATGTGAAGTACCATTCCTTCTGATACACCCACTCATGCACGTCTTCCTTCTCGAAGGTCGGCATATTCAATTTTCTAACTCTAACTTATTCACTCCAACTTTCTCTTTCTCTGTTGTTTCCCTCATTTATCGAGGGTGAAATTCCTTCCTTCGATCGTAGTCATATTCCCTCCTTGCTTCTCCCTCTTATTTCCCGTGCTCCTTCAAACCTCTTTCTTAATCCCTTTTCCATGTTTCGGCCAAACTGCCTCCATAAAAAATTTCTAATCCACACCTAATCGGAGGCCTGAGAGAAGGTTCGTAATGGTGAATGTTTTCCTGATGTTCCTCACATTCGATCTCTTTTCCTTTCGATCTTGCCTCAGATTCTCCAGCCAACCTTTGGTTAGGGTTTATAAATTCGATCTCTTTTCCTTTCGTTCTTGCCACGGTTCTCTTTGGTCTAGAGTTTGTAAATTGAGTTGTCTGTGGGTTCTTAGATTGCATCTCAATGAGCCTCTCATGCATCTTTCGAATTTCTTCAATGCTCTCAAATCAGTCCTTCATTTGTTTTCCAGTTAAGAAAACCTGTCATTTATGGTAGCGAACCTTTCTTTCATCCCATATTTGATTTGGTTGATCTCTTCATCCAACTTTTTTTCTAGATCATCCACTTTCTTTTTTCGTCATCATTCCCAAAAAAATTTGATCACAAAGCACCAAAACATCTGCACACTGAAATCTCGTCGATTAATTTGCTTGTCTGTATCACAAGAACGTATGTCGTTATCGATCTGAATAGCGTCGACACAAGTAAATTGAAATAACATCTGGAAGTTAAAATTAGTAGAAGAAATCTTGTTGGGTAAAATAAAGCACAGATTCGTGCAAGCATGATAGCTCGAATCACGCCACCGTAGCCACAATTTTGTCATAAGAGTTGGACGCCGCGTGAACTTGATAAAAAACTCGAAACCCAGAGTTGGAGTTTTTGTACGCTGCTTCCTTGCCGATGGAGTAGAATGGAAGTTTCGGGTATGTGTATGTCGCAATCCAGCAGGTCTTGTAAACCGCGATCCTTGTTGTTGCCTTCCTTGCAAGCTACGATTGCGGGGTGAAAAGCTGTGGCTTGTCACTATAAGCCGCGATTCTATAGCAGCCCTAATGGCGACTGCTTCACACGTGTATGGAGTGGAAAGAGGTGAGCTTTGGCTCTCGGTAAGCCGCTATCCTCCCGCTGTGTTCCGTCGATCTCGTCGTTCCAAGAGACGGGAAGTCGCGATCCCCCCCTCCGCCAATCTCGTCTGTTCAATAGACAGGAAGTCGCGATGATACCTAAACTAGTAGGGGAAATTGTGGAAAACACAGGAACAGACTTTCATTAATATTAAAATAGGATTAAAACATGATTCGAATGAAAATAATAAGACAAACACAAATAACACAAGAAAACACTCCTAAAAGTATTATAATGAATGGTAGAGATCGGCGAGGTGGGTCGGGATGGCTAGCAGGGTTGTGTGGACCACAGAGTGTTGGTGGCAGCGAGGGAAAGGAGCAAAACTGTTGGGGCAGGAAGTTTGAAGGATTTTATGTGTTCAGCAGTGGTAGTGGGGTGGTTGGAACGAGTTTGAACAGAGTCAGAAAGGATGGGCAGCAGAATAATCTGTAGGAAAGGGACCAGTAGGGTGTTGGGATGACGAAGGGAGAGTTCGGTGCTGAAAAGTGGGGATGAGAAGGTTTGGGGAGGGTGGAAGTGAATAATAAAATCACCACCTCAGAGAAGGATACAACCGGAGCACCACCATCTCCTTGTATACAGCCCACAAAGATGGAATGGAACTCCACACAGGAGAACTAAAGACAACACAATCTGAACTGACTCATACACACACCTAGGACGGCAATTTATAGTTTCAAAAGAAACTTCTATGCAAAAGGAGAGAGCGGGAAAGCTAGAAGAATCCAAAAAATCCAAAGTTCCACTATTGGCACCATACAGGTTCACGATTCTTCTCCCTCTCGCGGGCTCCCTCGCTTCTCACATTTGCGCAGAATCACAATCCCGCTGTTCCGCGGGTTCGCGGGCCTCCGTCCTGTGGGAATGAAGCACCCGCATCGGCTGCTTCTAGCACCAGCAATCGGGCGCCTCAGCGCCTGCATCATGCAATCCGATCTATATGTGGCCTTCTTGTCTTCTCTCTTCTTTGATATTGCAAAGATTGATGGTGCTCTCCCAAAATAATAGCTCTGATACCAATTTGTTACAATCCGCAGCAATAATTGTCACGATTCTCCAACGAAATTAGGCAAACAGATTTCTTATTTCAATTATTCAAACAACTCAATGAAAATTCAATGATAAGCACCTACGATTCAAGAAGTAGGTAATCTCTCCCAATTTTTACAATTTGGTAGGAAATATCTCTCAAACCCAAGACCTAAGACTCACAGTCCAAGCTCATGCATAACCTTAGCCTAGACATAACATGTATATTTGTACCCAATAATAATAATAATAGACTAAATTGTTCTTAGGTGTACAAAAGACAAATTAGGCTAGGCGCCCTCGTAACATATACCCACTCGAATAAGTGTCACATCATGTTGTCCTTTTACGAGTGGTTCATCAAGAGCTTCAACATCATTACTACTCATCTGATAAAGCTTTGCTCATCTGATAGAGCTTTTGAAGGGAGAGATGTTTCGATGGACAGAGGCCGCCCAGTCCGGCTTTGATACCTTGAAGGAGAAGATGACGCAATCCCCAGAGATTTCAGTCACTTATTAAAGTTGGAGTGTGGCGCCTCTAATGTGGGAAACGGAGCAGTCCTGAGCTAGGAAGGACTCCCTATAGCCTTCTTCAGTGAGAAGTTGAATATGTCTAGGAGGAAGTATTCGATATACGACAAGGAGTTCTATGCCATCGTGAGGGCCCTCTATCGTTAGCGTCACTACCTGCTGACAAGTGAGTTCATTTTATTCATAGATCATGAGGCATTGAGATTCTTGAACAGCTAAAGTAAGTTGAATGGTAGTCTTTCTTTGGGGGTTTTCCTGACTTCATTCTAGTTTGTGCTTAAGTTCAAGGCCAGAAGTCATAATCCCTTAGTCAATGCCTTGAGTTGCTGCCATTTACTGATTTCCTCGCAGTCTATAGTGGCGGGATCTGAGGGTCACAAAAGAGCTATTCATGGTAGAAGAAGAGGATTTCAAAGAAATATGGGACCATTGTTAGAAGAGGCCCATCGGGTCATACTACCGAGATGATGGTTATCCCTTCCACCGGAACAACTTGTGTGCCCAGATGCTTGTTGAGGAAAATTATCATCCAAGAGAGTCACAAGGGGACTAATATAACATTTTGGCAAAAACAAGACTCTCACACTAGTGAAGGAACACTTTATGTGGTCATTCCTGATGAAAAATGTGGAGCGATAAGTTTGCGAGTGCAGGCTTGCCACCTGGCCAAGACCCGAGTGCAAAACACTAGGTTGTACACGCCTCTATCGGTACTAGAGGCCTCTTGGGTAGACGTCAAAATGGATTTTGTGTTGGGTCTTATGAGGATGCTGCAAAATAAGGATTTAATGATGGCAGTGGTTGACAAACTCTCAAAGATCGCTAATTTCGTGCCATCCCACAAGACGTTGAATGCATCACATGTAGCTGGTTTGTACTTCAAAGAGATCGTTAGGAATATTGCATACCATTGCCTCTTATAGGGATGTCAATTTTTTTAGTCAATTCTAGAGAACCGTATGGGGAAAACTTGTCACTAAACTTCAATTCAGGTCGATTGCTCATCCATAGACAATTGGTAAGATAGAAGTGGTGAACAAGAGCTTGGGAAGCCTTCTAAGGTGTTTCATAAGAAAGAACATCAAGCAAGAGGATCTGCTAATAGCCCATGCCTAATTTGCCTACACATATCCGTAAGCTAGACTACGGGACGCACACCTTTTCAGATCATGTATGGCTGCAATTCCCTCGCTAAATACCAGATTTTTCTACGTCGGAGATTAGTGGTGATGTTGAGGCAAGAGTTCAGGAAATTCAGAGGTTGCACAAATAGGTTGGGAAAGAGATCGTCAAACAGAATCACAAGGACCAGGAGAAAGATAATAAATATAGGAGGAAGATGACATTCTAGAAGGGAGATCTAGTGCTGATCAGACTGAAGAAAGAGATATTTCCTCTGGGTTTGTTTGGAAAACATAGACCCATAGTAGATGGACCTTTAAGAATCTTCAAGAAGTTGAATGAAGTGTAAAAGATTGATTTATCGGATGCACCTCTGCTTCTTTCTACGTGGTAAATTTGACTCTATACTACAAGGACAGAGAAGCTTCGGCAAATGAGGTTGAAGCTCCCTCTATCTCGGGAGATAGACAGGGACGTGAAGACGGAAGGCGGGTGAGGGAAGACTTAACCGACCAATTGGACCGATCCAAAAGTGGACCAAGAGTTTGACCAGCGTCTTCGGGGACTAAAATTGCCGCCTAACATAAGTGAAATCCTCCTTGGTCGCATAATAGTATTTATAGGTATTTTGTGTGTTCTTGGTTTTGTTTTTGCTTTGGGATTTTTGTGAGGATAGCCTTTGGCGTCCCTTTTCACCTCCTAGGGTTGTAATTGACATCGAGAAGGTGCTCCGGCTATAACTCGTCTTAAGGTGATGTGTTTCCTTGGTTTGATTCAGGTGAAATGTTCTTTAAATTGGGTTTTATGCATGTAAATGTCCTTATTAAATATACTTATTAAGCCAGGCTTTCCCAGTTTGATCATCAACCAAGCTTTGGTATGCACAGTTGGAGGCTTTCACAGTTTGAAAGATTTGGGTAATAATAGAGTTTAGGTGTTACATATGTAAATACATGGGATCTGGGTGATATGTATGTAAATGCCCTTATTAAACCAAGTTTTACAGAGTTTCAATTTGACAAAAACCTTTAAGTCCCACATCACAAAATAAAAAAGTAACACCGCTCTTTAAATTGAGAAACGCATGTGTTTCATGTGCTTAGGATACACATGGGCTCAAATGTTAAAAATCTTTGATTATTTAAAATAAATTTGGAATTTTTAAAAATAAAAAGGTATTTTATTGCATATATATTATTGTCAAAGCTGGAGTCGAGCACAAATTGTTTGAATCTGTAATTTGTAAATGAGTTCGAGCTTGAATGAAGTTCTATTCAGCTCAATTCGGTTTCTATTGTACAAGCCAATTTCGAGGAACCCAAACAGAGAAAAAAAATTTAAATTGTGCTGAACATAAATCTATGGTTCACTACTCAGTTCCGTTCAGCTTTACGAACCAATTTTGAGCCGAACACGAACAAAGAAAGATAAATCAAGCCGAACACGAACCTATAATTTACGAGCTAATTTCGAATAGGAATAATTTCAAACGAGCAAAACTTGAGCCAAGTCTGAGCTCGCTTAAGCTCAGCTTATTTAGAACCCTAGGTGAGATACTTGTATGGGCCAGGCGAAGAGAGGCCACCACCAGAAAGTGAGCTTGCTAACTTTTACTTTCTATTTTTTTTATTTAAGATCGTTTGGAAGTAAGAACTGCTTAATGGCTTGTTACTTGAGTAGGTGTCATGTTGAATTATATTGCAAGTCGTTCAACATTTGAGATTCTTATCTCATAAGTTGTTAACAATGTGTGCCATTTACGTGGTTACTCGATTTATTGTGTTTTAGATGCCATATACCAGGATGCTGGTTTAACAAAAAAGATTTATTGTTATATGTTTTCCAATCAAGCTTTATTGGCTTCTTAGTATTCCTAGTTTAGGTTTACATTCATGAAAATATATTGCGAGCCCATTGATGTATCACCAGATTCCTATTTTTGCCCTTACGACTAAAAAATAATTTGACGTTCTTTTCTTTTTATGCTGTTAGATCTTCCGGTGGTATATTATTTTATCTTTTTTGTTGAAATGTGACTAGAATAGTAAAAGTATGGTCATGAGTGAACCTATACACCTCTTTTTTTTTTCTTTTTTTCTTTTTTCTTTTTTTTTTTTTTTTTTATATTTTGTACAATCTTTGTTTAAATGCAGGCGAGAAAAGAGTTGGACTTATGCAATGACCAACGTAATGGTTTCAGTGAAAAGTTATCCCTTTCAGATGAATATATAAAAAGAGAGAGAGACAACAGGTTTTACTCAATTCTTTGTTCTCTTCAGTAATGCATGATTGTATTTTAATTTTTCATCAACAAACATAGGAAAAACCTATTTTTTGAACAATAATTTTTATATTTTTGAACAAAAATTTTTATTTTATTATGATCTTCATGGAATTATTACTAAGACATGCCAACAGCAACATGCTTAAAGCTCACAGACATTGAAATATCCTCTGCAAAAGGGACCTTGATAGGATTGAATAGAATATATAGCTTTAGGTTGAACTATGATGTAGTTCCATCCAGATTCTGAGTACGTAAGCATCAACTAAGTTTTGAATCACAGAACAGATTGAAAATTTATTCTCTCATTTCTCAATCTCGTTCTCAACTCTCTCCTTGTCAAATTGTTTGTGTTCATTGATTGTTTCAATAAAATGTCAGGTAACCTCTCCATGACTAAATTAGGATATCTTTTCTGTGGCTCTTATTGAGAATGGAGATCTCAAAGAAAGAGGAGTTAGTCGGAAAAGCTAGAGAACCCTTAATCTAGCAGGAAAAGCATATATAGTTAAGGACCATTAACTAGATGTCAAAAGTTGTTGAATGCTTAGTTTAAGTCTAACTAGTGGAGTTGAGTACAAAGCTTAGTATCATACGAGCATTGAGTTGACAAAATCAACATTAGACAAAAATTTATGATGAAAAGTTATGGTGTATTTTGCATTCCCAAGGACATGAAGTAAAAACATTAGTTGGAGCTATCAATCCACCATGTTTGGATCTTATGGTTTTCAAACATTGAAATTGTAGATGACTATTCCGATATTAATTCCCTAGAATAAGTAATTAGGAGGATTATTGGATGGCCTCCATGCCTTGGTGGAATGATCCATGTCTTGCATGATTGATGCGTGCTAGAAAATTCGCGGTGGTAGAGTAACGGACTATCGTCTCAGCGTTGTACAAAAGTTCAGCACACCCACAGATGAAAGAGAAACAAGCGGTGATGACTTCAGTCAGAAGTTTTTATGTGGAAAATCCGTAAGGAAAAAACCATAGGACCTAGCCCAGTTGCGAAATTCATTATTAATTGATGATTACAGAAATCCCTTGAATGAGGTAACCCACGGTTGCTAACGAGATCTTCATAATTTAAATGAGTTTAATAACTCGTTTAGACTAAGTAAATTCAAAATAAAATAGTGGTACCGAAACGAGAGAATCGTGGAATCATAACTGGTGTCGCTCTAATCAACTTTAACCCCCGCCCCCCAATTTAAAGAGCTATAACCATAGGGACATTTGATTTGACATCATAACTTGACACTTTAGAAAACTTAAACTTGATACGGCGAGGAGCTTGGAGCTAGCATTATGGGCAACACGACCATCTTCAACAGCATAAGGATCTACAGCAGCATTGATATTCTTCAGCAATCTCTTTCTTTTAGTCTAAATAACAACTAATAGAATTTCGAGATAGCCGCCCAATGCGACTTAAATCATCACACTCTCTTTAGGTTGTGCAACGTATGTCCTAACTAGTTTTAGGTTTCGAAGTTGTCGTGTACGACGTAAACTCTCTTATCTCTACGGGTTATTTGCATAATCAGACATTATGCAAGTGTAAATCCCAAATAATAAAATTGATAGGATTGAACAATTGAATACCACCGTTTCTAACCGTTTCTAAAACGCAACCACATAGTATAATAGTTTGGGAAGTCAATGAGGGTTCTCCTCAGGATCTGTGACGTCCCCTACCTTTTTCTTCTTTCGGACTCTTAAAAATAATTGTTCCTACTTGAGCTACTCTCACTTGTTTTTCCATGTTCTATCGTGTAAACTTAAACTTTGAATTCTTGAAGACTAGTACATTTGATCATTATCGAGAGTTTTCTCAAGTGACCCCCGTCATTTGGGATATAATTAACTATAGGGGTTTGTCTCTATATGGAATGTGAAACACAGGTAAAATAAACCTTACTTAATTTTTGTATTAGGTGAGGAAACTTGTCGGTCACATATAAAAGGTTCGCAGACTAAACGAATGTCACAAATCTCTTAATTTGTATGATTGGGTCCATCACCGAGGTATACACTTATCTTTCGGAAAGATGTAATTTTCGCGGTATCAAACACGATTATATAGACTATTGGACGAATGAGATCCATTCGGCCTCATTTAAAAAAAAAATTTAAACACACTATTTTCAAAACCAAAACTATATACGTCTTATATTAAATTAAATTTAAAAAATTATTTTCAAATCAAAAATTGACCGACAAAACTATACGATATTCTAATGCAGAAGTCAAGATTTGTCATGATTCAAGTTTTTTGCCAAAATTTCGTGGCCTTTGGCTTTCGAAACGTAGGAGTATCTATTGAAGTGATTTTTTTTTTTTAGTTTTTATTTTCAGCAATTTTCTTCCTTTTTTTTGGTCTTTCTTTTCCTCTATTTCTTATTTGGTTATTTTAAGAGAGGACTATTTGTATCTTGTTATTTCCAAATTTTTATAGAATTTTTATTTTGTTTAAGTTTTATGGAGATTGTAATCTCTGTTTTCCTGCTTTAATAGTGTTGTAACATTTTTTTTTTTGCAAGTAGTATTTCTGTATTATGCTTAGGAACATGTGGCGAACCTCTTTGTTTCCCTTATCTTGTCATTTCGCAGTTTTTCTTACTGTTTTCAGTTGAGACAGTGCCAATTGGCATCTACCCACTCCAAACATTGCCAAACTCGCATATTATCATTTTTCTGTTATTTTCAACCTACCTCCTCACTAAATCTTCTTCCTAAACTCCTTCGCATAATGTTTATGTTGCACTAAGATTGTTGTACATGAGACTTTTTTTCATCCTTTTATGATACACGAACAATTTCTGCTTGATGCATCAATGTTGACTACAAATGATTTGTAGGGCGATAAGAACATTATTATGATTATCTTGCATGAACTACCAATGAGATGATCATGATGTAAGGGAGAATTATTTTAGTATTTCTATCTTCTCTTTCTTTTAGAGAGAATGGGAGATAAAAAGCTAGACATATAGATAATGAGAGGGACTCAAGATTGCTTTAGGTGTGAAGCGATTGCTAGCTGGGAGAGCTCAAAAGCTTGGGTTTTGGGGCCTCGACATGGGATGGGAACCACAAATGAGGGAAATGTAAATACATTAATTGAGGTGTAGATGCATGCTTTGGTAGAGATGGGGAATTGTGAGTTGAATTTTAGGATTTGGGCGTTGTGCGTATCATATGAGGGTGAGCATGCAAATAGCTTGTAGCGGTGATTTTAGACAAGTTTTATATGGAGAGCTTGGCAAGATGAGGTATTGGGTTGTGAGGAGTTAAAAAAATTGCAAGGAAATAAAGAGCGAATCTTGTATGAAATGAGGGAAATAGAGGGTGCGAGAAGATTTGTAAAGGCAATAATAATGTCTTTAGAATTTTTTTCAATATATAATGGAAATGCGCACGTAAGTGGTGATGCTAGGAGCATGCAACTTTGGAAAGAATTGGTTGCCTAAATCAATCTTTAGTTCGAGTATTTATTTATTTATTTATAATACTAAATAGAATAATAAAAATAACAAATAATATATATAAGTTATTATTATTTTTATTTGCTATAATATTATTGCTGTTAAATTAAAATAGGAGTGTATGCTCTCGTGAATCATCTCGCATACCAAATTTTCATCCTCCTCTCACATGACGACTAGAACAATTGCAACGTGGGGGAATTGGGTGGCTAAGAATGGGATTTTTTTTAATATTTAGACGTTCTAGACTTCATTCTACGAAAAAAATGTAACTTTTAAGTGTTGTTTTCATATGACAATAAAATATAGAGTTATATGCTATAATAGTACTGCATTCATCTTTTTTTTTTTTTACCATATTTGATTGAGGCAGTTTGTGGAACACAGAAGTCAGCAGTCCGCATAGTGACAAAATTCTTCTATTTGGGAACTAGTGGGATTTACCTGATCTAATAGTACATTTGCCACTTTTGAAGCCATGATGCAATAAATGCAAACAGCCTTTAGACAATCCGGTTGGATGTTGTTCTTTGCTAGTTTTTTACGCATCTCCTTTCAAGCATTATCTTGTATAATGAGTTTAGATTGCAATTCTTAGTTCAGTTCTAGAGTTCCTAGAAAATAAGAAATAATTTGCGGATTCTCTTTTTCTTGGGGAAAGTGTGGAGTGGTCGTATCAGGCCTACATAAGCCAGCTCAATCAAAAAATGCTTGGTGCTTGGGATCATAACTCCTGAGTAGCTAAAGTGTTGTCCGAGGACTAAGGGGCAATCTATTCAATTTTCTAGTCCTAAAAAGTATGCTGAATTTCATGCATAAATTCTAAGAGAAGGACAATAAATATATCAAACTACGAAGTTCAGGAGGGTTAGAAGTTGTCAACTAACAGATAGGTCATGTCCTTAAGTGAAAATAAAGGCCCCACGGCTTGGGCTCAAGGGATCGTTATTGGCATTAATTGTTGAATTTTTGGATTCTATCATGTTCAAAAGCTGTACATCCTTTTTCAATATTCATCTATTGTGAGTCCTATGAACCCCGCCCAGTGTTTAATCCAACACCCAATTGTAGGCGCTGCAATGCAAAGAAGGTACTACTCTAGATACTCTGACAAGGCTCATACCCATTAATTTATTGGGAAACATGCTAAGTATTATCACTTCCCTCAATCGCTACGATCTTATGATAGGGATTTTCGTAAATTCAAATTTCAGAATTTAAGGAATTTCCCCTTTAGTATCTTCTATTTTTATTATTTTCCTTTTTTTTTTCACCTGTTAGATTTAACTATTATTGATGATTTCTATTTCCATCTTTTTGCACAAGGATTTTTTGACTTTCTTAATGTGGTAGATTTGCCCGGCTATTTATCTTATCTTCTCCTGTTGTCTATTTTGTAATTGAGTCTTCGGAAATTGTAGAGCTTTAATTATTTTTTCCCTCCCAAAATCTACACAAATGATTGTTGGAGCTGCTTTTAAAAGAGGTTCATTTGAAATAACTTGTGTTTGACGCCAACCAATACCAACCAAGAGACCTAATTGTTTGTACACTCTACCCTGAAGCCATGATGGGCATTCTTTCCTGGAAAAATTTTATGTCTGGACTTCTGACGTGTGGACTCCAGTAATATGTCGCCACGTGTGCTACATTGCAGAGGTTATTTTGGGGTTATTGAAGTGGAACCGTAGAGGTTATTTCAGGGTTATTTTTGGGTTATTTTGGGGTTATTGAAAAGAAATTTATATATTTCATTTTAATAATTTAGAAATAATCCAGAAATAACCCCAAAATAACCTCTGTCGTTTCACTTCCATAACTCCGAAATAACATCGCTTATATTTATGGGTTATTTCTAGATTATTGAAGTGGAATATATGAGTCTCTCTTCAATAGTCTCCACGGTGTTATTTCGGGGGGGTTATTTCAAGGTTAATAAAATGGAACCGCGAAGGTTATTTCGGGGTTATTTCGATGTTATTTCAGGGTTATTGCGGAGTCCGTGGTTTCACTTTAATATTTTTTAGGTGGGTCTGATATAACACACATGGTGATATATTATTGGGGGTCCACATGTAGAGCTACTTCCGGAGTTCGGGCAGAAAATTTTTCCCTCCACTCTTTGGAAAGACCTGGCGTTTTCTTAGAGAACCTTAGTTCCATAAATGTGTTACTCATTGAGTTCTTAGGAGACTACAAACTTCGGGGCTCATCATTTTGACAATCCTCTGGGGTGACAACTTCTGCAATGAAACAAATTAAGTGGACTTTATGGTTTGTGTGGTCATAATCATATGAGATCATCATCGGTCAACCCCCACTCATTGCCCTTTGTGCATGTAGTCAAACTTTCCGGCTCAACTTCAGATTGCATAGTTCAAAGAGGATTTTTTGCAGCCTAGACTGTATTACCTTATAGTGTATTTCAACCTTTTTCACTTATCATGCTCCATCTGATGGTAGAAATATGTGAGGGTCTACACTAGAATGAGGGGGAAAAAAATTGTAACCGCTAGACCTGATGTGTGTTTTTCAACTAGGCTTTCCCCTAGCAGATATTTTTATGATCGAACTAAAATTTATCAATAATAAGCTTTATCTTTTTCGCATGAGATCAGCTTGAGATGTTCGGGATAGATCTGAACATACTGTACCAGCAGCTAAGTGCCTAATAAGATTGTTTGTCCGCCAAACAAAGGATGCAAAATGTGGTATGAGATGATTAAATCCATTAAAATGGTTACGAAGTTTTTTTGAGGGTGATTCATTTGGGAAGTCTAGTACTTACTGTTATGGTTAAAGAGAAGCAATGACAAATGTAGTGTATGTTTCGACTCTTACCAACTTCAACCAGACATGTTTGAAGGACAACCAAACTCTGTTTGCTCATTGACACATCTATCTAATTGGCAGTTGTGTTCCCACTCCTAAGCTTTCTTGATGTATTCTAACGTTATATTCAAATCAGAATGTGATGGTTTGATGATGAAAAAACTAGCATCAGCAGTAGTGACATAGTTTGGCACTTTAGACAATTTTTGTAGTTTGTCATACACCATCTTCATATGTCTGAATTGGATCGTTAAACCATGTTTCTTCAGGCAAACAGTACTGTTTCATTGTTCTGTTTTTTCAGCATGGCTGTTAGGCCTCTTTCATGACTTCGATCTTATTCTTCTATCTGTTTGATTCTACAAATACTTTTTCCTGGATATGCCATAAAATGTATCTAATTTCTATTTTACGTAGTTACTCATTTTGACACCCATTAGTGATATCTCATCATTTTCTCAGTTTCTTTTATTCCATTTTATCTCTTGTGAAGCATAATAACGCCTTCAGAGATTGGTAAACTAAGAGACGAGTTCAGCATGTGTAAAGCTGATGCCGATGGAAATGCGGATGTAAGCCTTTCTTTTTCTTAGTTTCAGTTAGCATACTTGAGAGAACTTAGATCTGCTTTTTGTTTTACTTGAGTTCAGCATGTGTAAAGCTGATGTAAGTCTTTCTTTTTCTTAGTTTCAGTTAGCTTACTTGAGAGAACTTAGATCTGCTTTTTGTTTTACTTCTCTACAAATTGCAGGCAAGGTATAGTTTAGAGTTGGTATCATCCCAATCCCATACTGCATCCGACGAAGTGAACAATCTGAGGACTACCATTCTTAGAGTAACAAATGAGAGGGACCGTTTGCTTTCTAGCATTGAACCGCTGAGAAGACTCGATGTTAAAATAGAGATGTTTGAGGGAAAATATAATGACCTGGTAAATTTGCTTGCTTTTCTTTGAATGGTATACCTTTTTCTATGTGCTTTGCATGATGCTATTTCCATTTTTTGCAGCAATCAAAGTCTGAGTTCTGTTTCCAAAAACTGAATCAGAGGATCTCATGCTTGGAAGTAGAGATAAAGGAGGTAGTTCCTTTAATTTAAAATTGGATCCTTTTTTACTGGTGTTAACCAAAAAAATTCCTTCTAGAGAAACTGATGCATTGCATATTGCAGTATTGTGGTTCCAAAGTCTTTTGTAAGAAATCAAACTTGTCTTTCTTATCATATAACTAGGCATCTTATTGGACAGCTTCCAGTTTCAATTTCTTACTATATAGATTTCATTGCATCTGATTGATTCGGTTTATGAGCCATGCATATAGATCAAAATACCCGCCATTGCTTGCTGTAAAAAATAGCAAAACAGCTTATTGCTTCACCCTGAAGGGTTGTGGCAGCTTCTTAGTTTCATACATGAGATTTCAAACAAACTTCTTAACTGCCAGACTTATTAACTTGAGCAAATTTTCCAGTTTCAGGATGCTTATCACAAGCATGATGAGTGCAGTGAACTGAGGAGGAAGCTTAGGTCAACGCAAGCGGAACTGGATGCTTCCCGTAGGAAGCTAAAAGATTGTTTTTATGAGAGGAAAGTGATGGACGCTAAATATCGTGAAGCTTCCACATTTCTTAAAAATCAACTTAGAACTTATGGGAAGCATATTCTCGACTTGACGAAGCGGCTCGCTGAACAAGAATAGAATCAAATACTTCGCGAAATTTTTTTTTTTTTTAATATTTTCTGTTGAATTTTGATTTTATTGATAGCAGAACAAGCAGCAGAACATGCAGGCACCTCTGGCTTGATCTATAGAAAACAAGGTTCAGTTGGTCAATTCTATGTACTCCGGAGTATATTGAATTTTTTTTATTAATATAATTATAAAATTTTAAAATAAGGCTTGTGTTTATAATGTATGTAATTAAAATGAGTATTATTATAGATTATTATAACCATATATTTCTTCATATAATTTTTATTCATCCAAAAGGTTTGTACAATTGGAAGCTAATAACATCCAATCAATAGATAGCATATGAAAGCTAAAACTTGATTAATTGTTGTTTGATTGTCTTATTTAATTTAATAATCAAATTTTAAATCTTAAAATGCTAAATTTAAAATTTTTCCCTGCGTGGAATATTTATATTTATTTTTATGGTAATTTATAAATCTCATAAAAATTCAAACTTTATGTTGGTCTCAAAGTTCTATTTTTGATGGAATTACATGGAGACCACTTGAAACTTGTTATTTACAAATAAACCATCCACTTTCATTCATTTCTCAAATGCACTCAAATATTAAAATTCCTACTGATATTTTTCATTTTTATCAAATTCTCAATGGTTTTATGGTGGCCCAAGTAAAAACGTTGGTTATTTCGGTAGTGTAATAATCATTTAATTTTTTTTCTTATCTTTCATAAGGCGAAGATAACATAAATATTTAATTTTTTTCCGTTGCGAAAGTTAATTTTCGAACGTTAAGTCCAGACAAAGAAAGCCTCATCCGTTATAATAAAATAGAAAAATTGCACACATGCCAACCTGATCTCCCTCTCCCAACGGCTAGTTCTCCCTCGACCACCAGTTTAAATTCCTCCCTCCACTCACTCCTCCCAAAACCTACCAGACCCCTCTCGCTCCTCCATGGCTTCTTCCCTCTTCCTTCTCGTCGTCTTCCTCGCATTTAGCAGCATAATGATTACAGAAGCAAAGGAATTCGTCGTGGGCGGCAAGCCCAACTCATGGAAAATTCCTTCTTCTTCCTCCGCAGATTCTCTCAACCAGTGGGCGGAGTCTAACCGCTTCCAAGTCGGCGATTACCTCGGTAATTTCACTCACCTTCTTCTTCTTATCCCCCCCCCCCCCCACACCCACCCTGCCTGACAAAAATAACAAAATCTTTAACTGGACAGTGTGGAATTATGATGCCGAGAAGGACTCTGTTCTCCAGGTGACAAAGACGGATTACCTGACCTGCAATATTACAAGCCCCATTGCCGAGCACAAGGATGGCGACACGAAGCTGAGGCTTCGCCGGTCTGGAGCTCACTACTTCATAAGCGGTGTCGAAGGGGCTTGCGTGAAAGGGGAGAAGCTTCTTGTTGTTGTATTGTCTGAGAATCACAGAGTTGGATTCAGGGGTAGTGCGTCGCCCACGCCGGCTCCGGCGGAGTTTGACGGCAGTTCTTCGGCTATTGCTCCGGCGACTGGCGGCGCGTCTACCGCTGGAAGAGGGCTATTGGGTGCTGTTTTGGGTTTGGTGATCGGTGGCAGTGTTGTTGGCCTATTGGTGGCTTGAGAAGTTTTATCCCCTTTGTTTATTTGTTATTTTTGAAATTGTTTTATGTAACGGCTATATTGCTCGACTGAAGCTTAATGAATTATTTATTTTATTTCATGTGAGATGTTCAATTTTTTAATAGCTCGATTTAAAAAGTATGATGAATCCGCACAAACTGGACTTACACCCTAGTCAGACGGCTGAGCTGTCGTGAGATAAAGCTTCCACGTGTCACACACCATTGTCGGAGCTTTAGCTGCCCACCCTCATCCGCAGCTCTGATAAAAACTTCACCTTTGCCAAGCTTCCGTGATAAACAGAGAGAGAAAGAAATAAAGAAAAGAGAGTTGAGCGACGAGGCAGAGGGGAAGAAGAAACCACCTGCTGCGATACCCGGCGAAGTGTTCCGCCAGCGGCGACGCCTTCCGAGGAGTCCGGCGGCCGTGGCCGCCGGGCTTCCTGATCGCCGCCACCATGGCGTGGTACTTTAGCCTCGACGATGAGTCCTGGGCCCCGCAGCCGTCCCGCAGAGATCCCCAAGATCGTCATCTGCAAAGACGAGCACAAATAGAAGCTGACCGTGCTTTTCTGAAATAGTTTGGAATTTTAATGCATTTAATAAGTCTGATAATTGTCAATTCAAATTGGCACGAGAATTTCTTCTTCATTTTATATGATTTATATTTTTCTTTTTCTTTTTTTTTTAATTTAAATTAGTAATGGTATGTTTAATCTGAATTAGTTATAGATTGATTGTGATGAGTTGATTGGGGAAGGCTTATTTGGTTGGATATTGAATTTAATCTTAGGCATTTTGGCTTCATTAATCTTCCTAAATTTTATGAATGATGATGGGATTTAAGAAGTAAGATTTAATTAAAATCCCAAAACTTTTGTTGGGTTTAAGTTAATTTTCACTTAATTTTTATTTCAATATTTAAATTTTGAAATAGAAAATAAGAATTTCTTCATCATTTTATATGATTGATATTTTTTTTATATACTTTTTTTTAAAAAAAATTTATTGGAATTCTTTGATGAGTTGGGAAGGTTTGTTGATTAGACATGGAAATTTTCATTTCAAAATTATGATAATTGGTCTATTTAAAATTGGCATGAGAATTTCTTCTTCATTTTATATGTTGATATTTTTTTTATTTTCTTAAAATTTTAGTGGAGTTCTTTGTTGAGATGGATTGGGAATGAGAATTTCTTCTTCATTTTATATGTTGATTTTAGTGGAGTTCTTTGTTGAGATGGATTGGGAAGGTTTTTTAGTTCCTTCTTCATTTTATAATGCGTTGGATTCTGGGAGGACGACAAACCAAATCGATATCTCGCTCATGCCTCCCGGTCGGCCCTGTTTGCGACCAGGGGAGGGGTCCCAGTGGGAATGGGAGAGCCTTCGCTACCGCTCATGACTTCAACAAGGCAAATTGATATCTCGCTCATGACTTTTATTTTTTTTATTATTGTTTGCTCCTTATCACTAGACTCATGGATAATGGGTTGTTGCCTAAATGGTGGTCTATTCACCAAGCCAAACTATATAAGACTATGCGGCAGAATAAACCCCTTGGAGATAGATCCGGTCAAGGATATGTCAAAAGGCGGGGTGATACTAAGGCCCTCAACGTCTCATGTATGATGATCTCCTCGTCTAATAATATTGAGGGTGTTGACCTCATTTTTTATGAGGTCAAAATTCTTCTTCTAGAACTTAGCTTTTAGAACTTAGAATCTAGCCATAAGACTTTCCTATTGACTCTCCTAAAGGACTAGCAATGAGACCCACACACTTAGAAATTCGAACCATCCCTTGACTCCTTTAAATTCTCAGATGTGTGATTTCAAATCTTAAATATTTAGTCGAGTCGATTGGAACCAACATGTTGAATGTTAAGACGGGGTCCTATAAGGATTGAAAATGCAATAGGAAAACCTTTGGACTTTTAGATCTTTCGTTCTTCGACGCAATTGAACATAGGTTAAGACGCAACACAAAAATTTCTCATAATCAATTTGGATTTATGTCGGGCAAGTCTACTATGGAAGCTATACATTTATTGAGAGGTTTGATGGAGAAGTTCAAAGATAATAAGGAGAATCTACATTTGATTTTTATTAATTTAGAAAAAACTTATGATAAGGTTCCAAGAGATATCCTTTGGAGAGTTCTCGAGAAGAAATGTGTTGATATGACTTATATTCAAGTCATTAAAGATATGTATACTATAGCTGTTACTTGTGTTCAAACTGAAGGAGGATTGACAAAATATTTTCCTATTTTTGTTGGTTTACATCAGGGATCGACTTTAAGCCCATATCTTTTTGCTTTAGTTATGGATGGTCTTACTGGACATCACCAACTTTTTAAAAGGTGTGAACGATTTAGATATCTTGGGTCCTTTGTCCAAAGCGATGGTGATATAGATGGGGATGTTAATAGTAGAATTCAAGTTGGTTGGTTGAAGTGGAGGAATGCTTCGGGCCTTTTGTGTGATAGAAAAGTACCGCTAAGACTGAAAGGAAAATTTTATAAGATGGTGGTGAGACCTGCAATGCTCTATGGCGCTGAATGTTGGCCTTTAAAAGAGAAGCATAATAATAAGTTAAGTGTTGCCGAGATGAGAATGATTAGGTGGATGAGTGGCTTTACACTTAGAGACAAAATGCGGAATGAATATATTCGTGATAGGGTTGGTGTAGCTCCTGTGACAGACAAAATTAGAGAAAGTCGTCTTAGATGGTTTGGTCATATTAAACGTCGACCATTAGATGATCCGATTAGGAGAGTAGATGTTTTAAATTCGACTTGTGTTAAGAAAGGCAGAGGTAGACCTAGGAAGACTTGGGCTTATTGTATTAAAAATGATCTTAATTTACTAGAACTAAATGAAAATATGACACTAAATAGGACGCAATGGAGAAAAAGGATTCATGTAGCCGACCCCACGTAGTGGGATTAAGGCTTTGTCGTTGTTGTTGTTGTTGTTCTTCGACGCAACGCAATTTACACAATATTTTCATAAACACCATAATCCACATAATTCACTATCTAAACTCAAAATGAAATATAAAATTAAAATGAAAACCCTCATAATACGAATTTGAGATCCTTCGGCACGGGTTAACTGACTCATCGCCAAGATCGTTCTGCTTGACTTTCTTTGAGCTTAGGTGAGGACCAATCAACGTTTCACTTTTTGAACAACTTTGATAGGCTCAACGAATCACATTTATCGCGCGGTGCGCGGGTTAAACTTAAATTGCCCTGATCATCGACAAATTTATCCAGATTATTCTGGATGAAAAAATAGACCATGTGAGTGTGTACTGAACTTCAATTTTATCCTGAAGGATACTCATATTGTCATGATTTCGTGCAGGGGCAAATGACACATAAATTGAGATGTATAACTTAAAATAATAATAATAAAAAAGAAGAAGAAGGGATTTAATTAAAAAAAAAAAAAGGAGAAATCTCCTTTTAAAAAAAGCCTCACGCCACCCCTCACAACGTCTCTCTAGACACTCCCCTTACCCGTTCGATGGAAAACCCTAGCCGTCTCCGATTTGGATGCCCTAACGGTTCTCATCATTCGGCCGACCTTCTTTCTCCCTCAGCCCCCGAAACTTAGCCGCTCGGCCGATCCCCTCCCCCTCTCGAAGTTTCTCGGGTTTGACCACCTCTCCTTTTGAGTCTTCTACTCCTTCTAAAATCGCGAATGGGCTTTCGGCCTCGAGAGCTTAGGGTTCACCGTCTTTGTTCGTATTCTAATCTTTTCTACTATCTGCTCTCGGCGAGTCAGCGTGGGCTCGATTGCTCGGTATTCTTGCTGGTTGCTCGATCTTCTTGTTTGTTTGTCTAATAGTTTTGCTGGTTTGCTCCAAGTTCTTGTTGGTTGCTTATTTGGCTGCTGAAGTATTTTATTTTATTTTATTTTATTATTTTTTTTTTTTGCGAGTATCTTTGCTATAATATTTCAGATTTGCTTGCAAGCTTCGGCATTTGTGCTGGAGATTTTTGGGCTTCTGAGCTTTAATACAATTGCTAAGGATAAATTTGAAAAACGGGACTATATTTACTCCTTTAAGGGCTACATAAATCATGCATGATATGCACGTGCTTGTATGTGCTTTAGCTAGGGCATCTTCTAAGCTCAATAATTTAGCAAGTGGCTATGATCTTTTGGCTACATCATTCATGGATATTGTTGATGCAGTAAGTTAGCTTTCATATTTTGATTTAATGGAGGAGAATCTTCTCAATTGTACTTATAGGACTAGGGGGAAGAGACTAGTTTTGTGTAAAGAGTGAATCTATTCTTTTTGTTTTAAAGCAAAATGTGATATGCTGAACTTTTTTGTGCTGAACTTAAAAAGATTAAGTTCTGGGTTTTATTGTGCCAAGGAAGTGAGATATAAAAAAGAAAACCTTTTTGTCCATACCATGGCATGTGAATTTATTATTGAGTGTGGGTCTAATGTTGTCTAAATCGGGCATATGATGTGTGCCTTGAAATGCAAAAATGGAGTATTTTATTCTCGTTAATGTAGAATAATTTTGGATTAAAAAAAGTTCTTCTTCATCCACTATAAATCAATCATATCTATGTTGATCAATCATATCTATGTTGGATCAATCATATCTATGTTGGCTTTTCTTATTCAAATGCCAAAATTCATACAATTTTCAGATATCCGCTCTCTTCCCACGCAATGGTGAGGGAGCGGCTTGGTTGGCCCATGCCTTTGAGGGCGGGTATGATGGTAAGTCTGATTCGATGATACTTTGTTTTGTAATCTTATTTTCTTCCGTAATTACCTAGAGTTCTTTTTTTAGATTTTTAGGATAAAGGAAGTGAAATGAGATTAAAGCGGTTTACATCCATATTCCACTAAATTCTTATATGTTTACATGCCTAGCACCTAAGTTTTAATATTTAAGTTGGCCCAAAATATCACAATGGGTTCAGTTTTCTATTTCGGCTTTTATATGGCATATAGAGTCAAATCTCTCTGTGTGTGATTCGGGGATGATGATTAAATTCAGCATGGAAAGCAATCTTTCTGTCCATGGTGCTTCAGGGATCTTTTCTTTT